CAAAAGGAGGACATGTCCGGGGAAATCCGGACGTATGGTAACCCTATGATGGGAGTTGTAGTCCCCAGCTTTGCAGCTCCATCACACTGCCCTCCCCTGGTAGCAGGAGTTGACTCTTTTATGGACCAACCCCTAGAGACCTTGCCATAACAACAGGCACAAAACCTGCAGCCACATCTCCACTGCTAGGGTGATCAACACCCCCACAGCTCCCTTGTCAAGATCCAGGAGTCCTGCCCAGGCCTATCACAACATGTGGGGTGTCTCCTCCAGTGCACTACACGCCCCGTTCAAAAGAATGGGTGAAACCACACAATCACTACGCTCTCAAATGCACTCACACAGGAAAGTGATAAAAGACAAAAACACCACATCACCTGTCAGCGAACGCTTTTCACCGAGCGAGCGCTCTGTATCTGCCCTCTCTGTCCTCGTCCTCAAAGGAAACCTGCACGACACCTTCAAAAGACAAGCCTGGGAGATTACATCCAAACCTGGCTCGATACCAAAAATCATGGTCTTAATAAAGACACTGGATTTATGGTTTATTACAAGCAGCTGTAACTCTTTTTTGTCCTGTGACTGCAGAGGTGTGAACCAACCACTTCACCTTGAACGGTCTCTTACAATACGTGTTTACTTGTGCTAAACAATCTGTTCTGCCTGGCATTTAGCTGTGACACTCTGGGGAGGTCTCTGCTGCAATCAAACACCCACGGCTGACCCAGGCCGGCTGACTTGAGCCCGGATGTCCACACCGTAATTTTATAGCCCCACAGCCTGAGCCGCACAAGCTGAAGTCAACTAATATGGGCCAGCCCCGGGTGTTTTATTGCACTTTCGACATACTCCCAAGAGTCCTTTCCCAGCCCTGAGGAAGAGCTCGGTGTAGCCCAAAAGCTTGTCTCTTTCACCAACAGAAGTTGGTCCAATAAAAGATATCACCTCCCGCACCTTGTCTCTCCAGCCACCGGACAGACGCGCATAGTTTACATTGAACCATTGAGTTATACCAGCACAGTGGATGTAGATGGGAGGGGAAAACATCCCCCACGCAGTACAGCGGTGAGTGGGTCAGACAGCAGTCCCTTAGATCCAGGTGTGAAGTGTGTCACAATGAACTGAAGTTACCTGCTGAGCTTATCTGGGCCGGATCACACAGACTCTGCTTCATATTAGAAAAAAAGTCCTCCAGGCTGGCGTTGCATTTTCTTCCAGTTCCGGTTCTCTGAGCAACACTGTTGCTCTTCAAGGCTGGTCCCTCCTCCACTTTATTAGAGACGCCCTGAAAAACTTCAGAACAGCGTTGGTGGGAAGGATTGTTACTGCTTATTGCTTAGGAGAGTCAGAGTGTGGGATGTGATAGATCAGTGACTCTGGCCTGGTCTATAGATAGACTTGCACTTAACTAACTAAAGGCTCCGGTTAAAACTGATGTAGTTATTTCAGTTCATATCTCTGCAGGGACTCTCTTATTTCAAAATCGAAGTGGCTAAAGTCAATTAAGCTCCATTCAAATTGGTTCCAACATTAACTAAAAAGAACAGGAGTACTTGTGGCACCTTAAGGACTAACAAATTTATTTGAGCATAAGCTTTCGTGGGCTAAAACCCACTTCATCAGATGCATAGAATGGAACATATAATAAGAAAATTATATATATATATATA